ATGATTGATATTTTCAAGAAATCGTACAGGCACGCTATCGGAGGTCGTATTCTCAATATCGAGGATGCCAGAACACTGATGAAGGAGACAGAAGCTGTAGTGAATACAAGACCGCTAACTTACGTCACGAATGACAGAGACCACATTCCAATACGACCCATCGACTTTCTGCGCCCCTATGCTCAACTCTCAGGGCCATATCCCCAAGCACATTCCAGTGGATATTTCCAGAACTCCAGCACCTACGAATCTCTCATAGAGGCATGGATCGAAACATCGAAACTGTTATCCTCCTTCTGGAAACGATGGACGTCGGAGTATCTAACTTCACTACGCGAGCAATACAGAAACGAACACCACAAACCGAGATCGCATGAATCTCACCAACCAGAAAAGGGCGACTTTGTGCTCGTCTACGATCCAATTCTCGATCGCGGTCAATGGAAAATGGGCGAGGTCATCGGATCCCGTGATGGCTTCCGTCGATCAGCAGATATACGGCTTGCATCTAGGACGGTAATCACCCGCCCTAACAACATGATCTACAAGCTAGAGTTGCATCCAGCTTCTTCAAAATGGAAACTCACCGAGCAAGCAATGCCAGCCCTTCATCAAGACCACAACGCAGAAACACAATGGAAGAGGACGAATAGCACCACAAACAGAACAGAAGGTCATCGACTGCAATACGAGTGATCTCAAACTATTTGTGCTTTTGTGTTGTTGCTCATTCTCCCTCTCCGATCAGATGTAGTTTATCTCAGCCTCGTTTGTTGTCCTGTTGGGAGTTTCTGTACCTAACAGAAACTCAACCTCCCTTGTTTACACCGATGAGTTCTGATATGGTATCCCAATGTTTATAGTATGTGCTACAAAACATGTTGCCTATTTAAACTCTATGTGGTGCATTCTCTTCACTTTTTCGTCACCGATCTTCATCGTGCTCATCGTTCGTCGGTCCAGCGACCAATTGCAAGACTGTGTGTTCCAACGGAATAAAGGATCTCAGTACGATCACTGACGAAGAAGGTGTGAAAGTCATGACCGCCAGTTTTGCATCTTGGAAATCATAAAAAGGGCTCTAGCCAACATGTCGCTCGAGAATTTTGGTGTTTCACTTTTTGAAAATAGTGCTTGAAGACACAATTTTGGCTTATCTACTCAAAGACGAATAATGGAAGTGATGATTCAGAATAAAGAAGTGGCGGAGAAATCGGTGTTTCCAGAGAAATATAAGGCTTCAACAAAGGAATAAACCTAGAAGCGAGAAGTTAAGACAAAAGTTGTACGGAAGGGCTATTGAAAATAACTGCCTAAATATGTGTGCCATTGCGCACAGCTGGCTATAGTAAGCTGTCTGCGTCCTGGTGCGAACGGTGCAGCCTCTACGGCTTCTTCAACGCCACGGGGACTCGCTCGCCTTGAGTGTGTACGTAGGCTGAGACTGTATTGGGGGCCTTGTAACGCCCCATCTGGGCCACTTTCCGACCCAATAGTCTCCTCTGTGCTATTCTTAAGAGTCACAAGTTCATCCTAAGAAGAAACCGCAGGAAGTTGTTTTTATCGTGAACTGTGTTTTTAAATTAATGTTGCTAAGTACATGTATGTACAATAATACACTTCAGTGTCAGCTCATCCTCAAAAAAGAACATTCTTACCAGGGAAGGATCCCAAGTCGAAGAGGCCATCTGAAATGAGACCTACACTGCTAGACGTGTTTTGGGATGCTGAGTTAAAATCTGCTTTCCACATTTGCCGAGCGTTTCTTTGAACAGAGTTATGAGGGTGGTTTCAGGGAGCTTAACATGAGAAAACTTAAATTACATGGATGTTCCTCAGCTCTCAACGGCGGCTTAGTGTGGAGGTAAGCGTGACCCTTTACAGGCGAGAGGCTAGGGGTCAGGTTTTCTGGGGGACGGAGTTTTTGCATTACATAGGATTTTTCCTTTAGGGACTAGAAAAAACTCTTATGATATGATTATCACGTTTTATGACCTTTTAATGCTTTTACTGATATTTATCCACACAAAGTAATACTTTAGTTATCGGGCTGCATTAGCCTCGCGGTAGCCTGGAGCAAGGTGTCAATCCCTTCACCTGCTTTTGTGGATTTAAGGTGCACTGAATAGTTTTCTGGACTTCGAGTCCTTTATCACCAGCGCCGGTGTTGGTGAGTCCGGAGCTGATGTTAAGCTCCCTGAAACCACCCTCATAACTCTGTTCAAAGATACACTCGGCAAATTTGGAAAGCAGATCGAACTCAGCATCCAAAAATACGTCTAGTAGTGTATGTAGGTCTCATTTCAAATGGCCACTGCGGCTTGGGATCCTTGCCTGGTTAGATGAATCGGATGAGCTCACCGTCACCAATGACGAGTTCTACTTCTGCTCCATTATCCACCAAAACAATTCTCGGTAAAGACACTGGAATAATGTTAATACAATGGGTTGAGTTTCAAGAAATATACCGAAACAGCTGCGACAGAATCACCACAAAGGACTGATTTCCGGGAAAAAGAACTGCTTTCATGTGCGGCTTATTCATTACATATATAAAAGAAAAGAGGTTAAGTTATGTAACGATTTTGTTGCGGTTGCCCTAGAAACTGTATGAATCTGTAGGGGCATGCAGATGATGTGAAACACCTCCCAAGGAAGGTTTAATATATTTGTATTCGTAAAGATAGTCGACTTTTGAATGTATCGCGCTGTATAGGACGCACTGAAACTTGACTCTCCGAAATTTCTACTCGAGATCTTTGACCTCGAAGCTGCGGACGCACCTTTCTCATTGAGCTGGCTGGTATTCCGGAAAGGTTGGGAGCGCAATAGTCAACTTGCAGATCGGCCATGAGGAACTCAAACAGAAAGTTCACTTCACAGAAGGTCAGTGCGTACCGGCGCAGGTGAACTTTGATCCTAGATGACGGCGTCCTTTGCCGCTTACCTCCTTGGTCCGTCGATTACGAGAACCACCTGGTGCACATAGGAGTGGACAGTGTCCAGATTTTCGTCTGTTCGCCTCCTTTGTTAAAACCTCTTGGGGAGACAGTGGTACGGGCCGTTGTCACCACAGTTCTACCTCCTGGAACAGCAACTGTCGTACCGTGTTATGTAGCGGATGCTCCTCAATATTCCTCCTGTCTTTGAACACTTCGAACATCCTGGAGAGAGATAGCTTATTCGTGTTCCCTGCTGTTTTTAACAGTCGATACCCGCATCTCCTTGTGTCTAACCCTTCTTCACCAGTGCGAATTATCTTCAAGGATCAGCGTCTCGCCGGAGCCTTTCCTTTCAAGAGCGGGGTATGGCACATTGCCGGAACCCCCTTGGTTGTTTTAGCACACCTGCGCTTGCAGCAGCTGTAGATACCGTAGCCGGCTGCTCCTACACGAGAAAACGACCTCTTGCGTAGATTTATCTCACGCTGAAGTGAACGAACCACAGGAACGTCAATTGCAAGATTTATTCGAAGAATTTCGTAACCGTATTTCGACTTCATCTTACGACTCAGGCTCCTATGAATTATCTCCAATAGTAATCAAGACAACCACCGAAATTCCTCCCACCAAGTGTAGGCCTACTTGCGTTCCGCTCGCTTTCAGCAGGAGTCAGATGAGCACATCAAAAATTTCCTTCAATCTGGTCGATTAGTTGAAAGCGACACCCCTCGGGTGCACAACACCGTTTTGGTCAAAAAGAAGGATGGTTCACTGTGAGTCTGCCTGGATTTTCGACCTCTCAACAACATCACTATACCATACTATACTACTATCCTTTGCCTCATATCGAAGATCTTCTTGAAAAAGTGGCAGGAAACAAATTCTATAGGATCTCAGATCTGGCTTCGGGTTACATGCAGCTGTTACTCGATCAGTCAAGCCAAATGTGGTTGGGCGACTCATCGGGGAGCCTACCAACTTGTTAATTTGCCCTTTGGTCTGCGCAATGCTCGGATTCTCGCAGGTTTAGAAGAGAATTTCCTGGCGTACCTGGACGATATTATCGTCTTCGGCAAAGACTCTCCTTCTCACCTCAACTCCCTGTGTAAGGTTTTCGAGCGTTTCCGGTTGTTCAACATCAAGGCTTCAGGCAAGAAACTGACCGACATAGCTTAATCAAGAATCACTTTTCTTGGACGCGAGGTTTCTAAAGACGCCCCGCGGAGCGCAATATCAAAACCGTACGCGACCTACCTCGCCCCAAAACCATAAAGGATGGGAAGGGATTCCTTGGCATGGCTAACTTCTTTAGGAAGTTTATTAAAGGTTTTCGCGATTGCGGCACCCCTATATGCTCTCTGTAAGGGAAAAGCTACGTTCGAATGGACCGCCGAGCTAGAAAAGACGTTTCTGTCCTGCGTCCTGAAAAAAGCAAACTATTGTTTTTAGTCCATATTTGGCCTTTCCGAGAAACCATGAGTTTGTTCTCCATGCTGACGGGAGCAAAAATTAGTAGGAGAGCTTTTATTAAAGGAACAGAAGGATTCCTCGAAGTAAGCTGTCGTCGGGTACTTCAGTAAAACGTTGTCGGGCTCTCAGAGTATTATAAATGGAACCCTACTCATATCGAGCTGTTTGCTATGCTCAGCGCTCTCCGTTTCTTCCGAACGAGATCTATGGCAACTTGACGCACATGTTCGAATCATAAACCCCTCACTTTTCTCTTACGGCATAATAAGACGCATGATAACCTTGCGAGGTGGGCTGTTGAACTCCAAAGTTATAACATCAAAATAGGGTATCTGAGAGGCACATCTAACGTAACAGACGATTTTCTCAGCCGTACCGAAGCTAGTCAGGACCGTTTCGTAGACGGCACTCCTGCAGCTAAAGATTTCATCGAATTCCCAGTATGTCTAGTTCACACACGTGAAGCTTCAACTCTGCGTATTCGTCCATGTGACCTACTAATAGAACAAAAACAAGATCTACTTTGTAGTACCATTATACATTTTGTAGAGACTAGAGCTTTCCCTTCCACGGCATCCGAAACGGACAAGACAAGTGCAGTGACTGTTATGAACTTATGCAGTATCATCAAGGAAGGTTGTCTTGATGTTACACGGCATGGGACACACGTACAAAGCTCATTTCTTACCTCTTAAACTGTATTAGCTTGTTTGTATCGCTTTTCACAATAATCCATCCACTTTAATTGGAAAAAGACCTTAGGCGAAATTGCTCGCAAGCATTTTTGGATGACTATGAAAAAAGCTGTTTTCGTTATGTTCGTTCCTGTGATGCTAGTCAGAGGAAACGGATTCATCGTGCTGACCGCGAGAGTCTTTTACCTATTCACGCTGAGCCTATCTTTCATAAGGTCTATATGGATCTCGGCGGTCCTTACCATACATCCGCTTCTCCCAAATATGTTATTGCTACTCCTTTTCCTGATCTCAGATAACGCTTCTTATCTCAAAGGTGAACTAATCGCTGAATTAGATAATTTACTTTGCATCATTTGACACTTTTGGACCCCTTATCATTATGAAGGGAACGGGTATGCGGGAGAGTCTTTGCCACCTTCCAGGCCATGCTTCGCACTTATGTTAATGACAACCAGCTGGATTGGGATACCTTCTTTCCTGCGAGCGTCTTCCTAATGTTCGGTCGAGATTCGATGTCGACCTCAGCTCTCTTCATGTGTTCCGTCGAATATGGACGGCAGCATCTACAAGTAATTTCTCGCTTCCG